AGTTTTTCCCATAAATACATTCTATGATCAAAATCAACAAAATAACTTTAAAAAACCAAAATCAAAATCATTCCCGAAAAATTATTGCGGCTAGATAAGCCCAAACCTACCACTGACTGGCAATATCGGAAATATCTGATATTTTTTTCTCACATTAATAACAGCTGGTTAATCGACAGGAAATCCAAAAAAAATTTATGACTGTTTTTAGGCTTCCATTACATCAATAATCTGTTTGACATGGAACATCTAGATCTCTACGTCAACGATACTTTTTTGGAGATAAAGACCGCGTACGATGAAAAATCCAAGGAAACGATCGAAAGCAACAATATAGCAGCACTGACCCAAAAAAGCAGCAGCATACGCGACCTCAATCGGCCGCGCATCGTTACAAACAACTCACTACAGAAGTTTTTATCTGTTAAGTAATGGAACCACAATGAGTAATTCGCTAAGTAGAAGGAAAAAGAAATTGGATGAAGAATTCAAACGTTTCCTTACACAAACGGCAAGAAAGAAAACTATGGAATGAACACAAAACGAATTGAGGCATAAGAAAAAGAAATTTGGTTATGAAACAAAAAAAAAATGCAAAAAAAAATTAGAGTAGCTTCAAATTCTCTGTTTGATGCAAATGTTTGATATATGAAGAAATGCAGTAGCGCGCATGGATAACGCAAACAAAATCCAAATACTCTCAACATATATAAACCGGTTCCAGGTCATCGTCATGGGGGACTATACAACGAGGAATAAAAAAGATATGTCACATTGTACACCTGATTCAATGATGATAAATAGCGGTCTCTAGAGCTTCAATATTTACTCAGTTAGTACACTTAATGTGGAGCTAACTTATTGGGTACGAGCCTAATTGGTAAGCAGAATTAATGGAGAATAGATTGTACGTACTTATTAGCATGCCCAAAGTTATATAGTATTGCACTCACCTCAGGATTCCAAACTACATCTAAACTCAATGCAACAAAATTATGACTTTCCTGACTCTTTAAATTTAAAATTATCATTGCTTACTCCCGCAAGCAGAATCTCATCAAAACACTAAAGTGTGAAAAAGTTGATAGATGAAGAAGAGAAATTACTTAGTTTCCGCAGGATTAACTCAAACAAGATGGCAGGAAATAAGAGTTTGGAGATAGGGATAAAGAGAAACCGCTATAAATAGTACTAGAGCATGCAAAAACGATGCAAATGTAGACAGTACGAAACCAATAAATACAGCAAATAAACTGTGCGAAAACTAGAATAGCTATGGAAGAATGCAAAATCAAAGAAACAGGCAATAAGGAAGGCAACAGCTGAATTAGTTGGGCTTAACTAGCAATGATAGTATGAACAAAAGGCTAGATTTTGCTTCTGTAGTAAACATAGACCATCAGATGAATAAAAGACGAGCTTAACTTTAATGTTACTCCATTTTTGACCACAAGAGAAAAGTTTGAGTATGATATTCTCCTTTTTTTTTGATAATGATGGCAATTCTACCTGCTGTCATTAATGGAAAACAGGCTGAAGATACAGAAACCGCTCTGCCTAAGAAAAATTACATATGCATCAAGTACAAAATCCTAGAACCTACAGAGTTCAAGAGAGATAAGTTGTGAAGTGACCTGATAAAAAACTGTTTCTAGAAAATCGAAAATTAGATAAAAGTAGGGAAGAAAAAAGAAGAAGCCAACGACTATAATACTATTTCAGGACAAGAAAAAAAGTGGGTTTTTGATGAGAGAGCACTAGATATACCTCCGCCGCTATGGCAGATGGGGCGTTCTATTATGCGCCTATTCTGCACCAAACACAATGGATATATGTGATTTTTATTATTTCGACAAAGTGACGTCATCAGGGTGTCAACAAAATCTGAATAAACTCTGCTAACCATAACAAGACAACAGAAAAGTAACAACATGAACAGCAACTAGAAGAACAAGGGTGTACCATTTCCTATGCAAAGTCTCCATAATGGAATTTTCTAGCATATATTATAAATTCATTCATGCAGGGTGATACATAAGACCAAAATTCACCATAAAAACGAGCAAACAAATCTATAAAATATCCAAAGCGGATGCAATATTATACAATTGGTACAGTTTTGATCTGACCAACGCGTTCCTTTGCCACCTAAAATTGACAAATGTTGACGAGGAAGTATAGAAATATGTGATCTATCATGATGTCTGGCAAGGAAAAAACGTTAGGAAAGATTTATTTACCTTCCGATGCTCCTCTGCGAACGCCATTTTATTACCCTTCTTCTCTTGTCGCCGCCATCGACGTGCCTCTTTAACCGCTTGTTTTCGAAGACGACGTTGTTCAGCTGTTTCACCTTTTGGTCTGCAAACACGAGATTTACCCATGGAGCTGGTGCAGTCCCACATATATAAGATGAAGCTGGTAGAAAAAAGAAAATTGTGGCAGTAAGATGAAAAAGCAAAATTCAAGGTTAGAGTCCTCATTTTGAAAACAATTTCATCAAAAGGATATTCAAAAAATATGTACACAAAATAAACTAAGGGCAATCATTAACCTTTCGGCAAAATTGATTTATTAATAGCAATAAAACTTTAAAAAGCTTCATCTTTGCCTTAACTAGAGAAATTACAACTGTTCCAACGTAACTCTACCTTTCAGTCAAGGTAAAAGAAAAAGAAAAAACTAAACCTGTACGTTGACGTTTGCGTGCACTGACTCATCGTGTCATCTTCGTTGCTTTGCATTTCCTCGTCATCCACTTCCATATCGTCAACTTTTTGCGCTTCGCGGTCGAGTCGTTTAAGCGCACGACGAGACAATTTGCCAGTTTTTGGATCTAAACCAAAAGATGAGATGCTTGGATAAGCTAGATCTTTCTGAAAAAGCATTAGGCTTACTTTGGATAAGTGTTGGGCGATTGTAGATATTAGAGTACTGGGTCGCATACGATTCACAATCCCATTTCAGCCGCTTTGATGCTGATTCATCAACCTAAAAAGGGAAGAAGTTTTACGAGGACACGTATAATTGTACAAAACACACAAGAGTGAAAGCATAACAACCGAGTACTTGAGCTAAGCTCTGAACAATTTATACTGATCTTTTATAACTCCTATATTTAAATATATGGAACGGTGAAGATTTCAACCCCTTCTCTCTCTTGCCTTCCCTGTCCTCCTCCTATGAAAAAGGAGAAGAATTCGCGCATAATTTGAGTATCTTAGATATATAGCGAAAAAAAAAGAAAGAACAGAAATCACTTCACATCGCGCATTTTATATAAACACTACAATGACTATAAGGAAGACCACCCTAATCTCCTATAAATAAACTGCACCCTGAAAGATTTACCAGTTGCAGGACCAAGCGTGACATATCACACATACTCAGTCAGAGCGTGTACTTTCTCAGCAGAGCCGTGCTGCGTTTGTCATGCACCCAATAAATCTAATAGGGTGCAGCTTATCTCCAAGAATTCAAGCTACTGTTGTTAATCATATGAAAAAAAATGAACAAAAGTTGCATCTTGAAGTTTGATTGGAAGAAGTAAATTAGATAAACCAAATACCTCCACAGTTTCCATAACATCGTCATCCTTTATCACGTTTTCCTCTATTAAGCGCAATCGTTGCCTAGTCCATTCCTTTGATGCCTAAAAAATTTAAAATTGCATTAATTAACAAGCACAGCTGTTGAGGGTAAAAGTGATTCCTCAAAAGAACGCTTTTCAGTAAAACAATCTGTGATTTAAGCTCATTTAAGAACAATTAACCTACTTATAAGGTGCGAGGAATCTATAATTGTGTTCAATTTTCTGAGAGGAACATCTTAGACGATAGGAGTTTTCGGACCTACAACGCACCTCTTCGTCATCGGCAGGGCCAGCATGACTCTCTTTAATCATTCTTTTCACCCGTTCATCATTAGGTTCCAAAGTACCACCAACGAGGTAATCATCACCATCCAATTCGCCTAATTGATCGTCGTGATAGTCGGCCTCCAGCAGCTGATCAAATCGATCGTCAATTTCTCTCCGCGGACCGTCGCGGCGAACCTAAAAACGACAAGTGCACTTATTACGTCCTATATCGACAATTACACCAAGAAATGAGCAGATGGCAACGTGCCGAACTGCGCGGATGACTGACTTGTTTCGTTGGTTCCCGTTCTTCCTCGTCTTCATCTCCGTAGCTATTGTCATCATAGTCCGACTCTTCATCGTCCTAAAAGAATAAGCGATAGATAATATGAAAATTGTAGAAATTGTTCTAGTTATCCGCCTACATCATCAAATAAGGTTGAGAATAATTAGAAAAAGGATATACTCATCAATAAGGAAAGAGAACAATAAAAACAAATGCAATCAAACTTGGGAAATGTGGAAAATGAAAATGGAAGAGAAAAAAAATATTTTCATCAACTTTATATCAAGCTACATATCCCATAAAAACAACTGCAAACAGATAACTGACAAAAAGAAAAACTCGCCTCCTCATCACTTTCAAAATGTACAGCTGGTTGTCGAGGTTGAAGATGCGTCTTTGGTACTGGTTCAGCGAGTCCGCCAGCAAGAGCTACAAAGTCATCCTCCAAACCACCTTCTATTTCACCTTCGAAGTTCCCCTAGAGGAAGAAAGAGATATTATGAACTATTATAAGATGTTGATCCAGCATATGGTAGAATGACTTTTGTCATGAATATTAATTGAAGGAAATAATGAACCACGCATGACGAAGATCATAAGAAGTGTTCATAAATCATTTTGCTTGACTACAAATAAGTGGGAAGACATGATTAAGGCCATAGCGTACGAAAGTAATTAATCCACATCCCTATTTGAGCTGAACTAAAAATACTCATAGCCCACGAAAAAACTTAGTACTTCTTGGAAGATTTTTGCATCTAAAGTTGTTTTTAAGAGACGAAAAATTAGAAGACTAACCTCTAAGGCTTTCTCCACGTCTTCGTCGAGAATCTCCTCTTCTTC